GGCAGCAAGACGGCCGTGCAGCCGCTCATCATCGAGGTCAAGCAGAAAGCGGTCAACGACGAAAAGTTCTGAGAGGGAGGGGAAGGGAGAGAAAGAAAGGGGGAGAGAAGAGAGAGGGAGAGAGAGAGAGGGAGAGAGAGAGGGGGAGAGATGGGAGAGCCGAGAGGGAGAGACAGGGGCAGAGAGGTAGAGAGAGAAAGGGAGAGAGAGAGAGAGAGAGAGAGAGAGAGAGAGAGAGAGAGAGAGAGAGTGGGAGAAAAGACATCCGGAGCGTGCGCCTGCTGGTGGTGGGGGAGTCGGTTGCCATGGTTACGTGGTTCTTCTCATCTTGTGACCATGCTCGTCACGGTTATCACAGTCGTCCATCGTGGCTACGGTCATCACCATGGTTACATGAATGCCAGACAGAGAGGTTACGAACGGTGGGTACCATTCATGAACGACCATCCATGTACGATCCATCCAAGCGTGGGTACGAACAGTGGTCTAAGATGGGTACCATCGTCGTTCCGGCAACGATTATTGCATACCTACAGTCGTTGCTCGTGGCTACAATCGTTGCCATGTTTACACCCGTAGGTACAATCGTCGCCATGGTTACCGACGCCAGAGTGACTATAATACACTGAGCTGCATATAATATATACTATACGAATATAATATAACTAATATACTATAAACTAATATAATAATATACTATATTACTATATAATATACTATATTACTATATAATATACTATATACTAATATAATATATTAAATACAGCTCAGTGTTATAATCCGTTCCACCACCACACACCTTTCAGCAGAAGATAAATTCTTGCTAGCATTGTCTCTGAGGTATCAGTACGATATTATCACCTTAACTTGCTAAAAGTTATATGACCGTCCTAATACATAGTTTTATTATTAATAATTTATTCTTATAATAATTATGTAACTTGTTGATATAAACCAACTTACTGGTATTCGTCGAAATCATTAAAAATCGCTTAGTCTCTGTTAAGAAATACACTATATATTTCATATAGTATATATTAATAATACATGTGGATGCGTCTGAGCTTAGACAAAGACTTAAATCTATTCTAGTTGATATTTTATAGATATTTTATCGCAAGTGAGCAAATTTCTATAAATGTTAGGAACGCTATACGCTCATATATATATCTTCAGCATGCGGTGGCAAACAGCAGTTAGATCAGTGGTTCTTAACCTTTTTTGAGTCATGGGCCCCTTTGAGAATCTGGTGAAAGCTACAGACCCTTCCCCAAAAAATGCGCATAAGCACATAAACACACAATTTTGCATGCGCCTGGTTCACGGACCACCTGAAGCCCATCCACGTACCGCAAATGTGTCCATAGACCACAAGTTAAGAACCCCTGAGTTAGAAGAAACGGTCCATGGCCTCTGACAGTGACAGGGGACCAGCGTAGCTGTGCAACTACGATGTGAGATTCAGCGCGGTATCGGTGCGCGCCTGCCTAGTCCGGTTGCGATGCATTGACACCGCGTTAGCTAACCATTTACGTTAACAGAGTTCTATATGGGCATGTTATGTTACCATGGCCGGTTCGTGTAATATTGCAACCGGCGCCATCCAACGCGAAGATTAATGGGAAAAAACTGCAGCCGAGTGGTGTAACCATAATGCCTACCCCGCGTGCGTGCATGTGATACAAAACCCGTGTTCACCTGTGTTCCGGAGGTAACAGGTAGAAGCGAGCGAGCTCACATGCGCTTTGAAAATATCGTGTGAGTTAGCCGAGAACGATGTCGATCGCACATATAATCATATCGCTTGTCTATTGACATTTACTCATGCTGTATCAATAGCGAGCCCCGGAAATGTTCTGTCTAATTGAATGTTGCCCGTTTTCCCGCGGTTAGGGCAGCAACTCGCAGCATTTATATGATGTTAACAGTAGACATACTGCATGTAAATGCGCGAATGCCTGAGTGCATCCACAGGAGTGTGTGCGTGTACACGAACATTTGCAGGTGTGTATCCCACTATACCCGGGAGAGAAAATGAACTTCTTTTACATACTATTACTTTATTATTACATTGTATTTATTATTTATTTATTTCCATATTATTATGAAGGCCGCATAATAGAGATTAAAATGCTTTATTATGTAGGTACTCCTGTTATTAATTTATTGATTACAGTTTTCGGACACTAAGTGCATGGCAATTTTGTACGACATTTTCGCGTTGAACATCTCAGACGCGGGATCTTCATTATGGGAGGACTGAAAATTCACTGCTATACGAAATAGTGTTTAATCTCTCGGACACTTATATTTATACACTGCTATTTAACAATAGCGAGGTTAACGAAGGATAATAGCTGCCGCCGTGCATATAGTACGATAACTGATACCGAAACACGCGAGGTTTGGATATTATTAAAGAAATTGTAGTTGTGTTGCGTGGCTTGTATCTCTTAATTGTTGTCACAATAAACATTTTAACGAAAAAGTCTGCATTGGTGATGTATTTGCATTTGATATATATATATATATATATACTGTGTTTAGTATGGAGAGATTGTCTATTTGCCACGTCCGCATGACTCAGTGTTTCGTGCACTCTACCCAGACAGTATCCAGAGAGACATGATACAAGATTGCGTGGCACAGCTTTGCTGTTGATCCTGAGCGCTGCGCGCGGATGAGACGCGCAGTTCCGCGGGATATGCGCACGCGACCGCGAGGATGTTCAAGTGTCAGCGTCAGCGGTCAGCGGATGGTCTGTAGTTTTATAGGATAACAATGAAGACTTTGTTCTAAATAAGAACTATCGGCGGCTAAATAAGAGCAATATACAGACCTTTGAATTTCTTGACTAGTCAGTCAAAGGGCTTGTTGGGGGTCCATTATGCAGAGCTTCCAATTGAAATGGCCCATGAAATTGTCAAGTGGAATTGTGTTTTTCGGAACCCCAAAAAAAATGTCTGCCTCTTACAGGCACCCCCTCGCTGATCAATC